CACTGTCACTTAGGTTATTATGGAAATAATAATATTATTCATACATATTCTACGCTGAAACACTAAAAATGAGGTGCTTGTGAGAAGCAGACACATTTGAACTACTTCAGCATCCTGAGCCATGATTTTTTTGTTAACATGTTCTCTTGTCAATATACCAAAGTCATATTTTGTCTGTTACCTATATCGAACAATTTTTAGCAAAATTAATCAAACACTATAAGTTTTTGTTTGAATTTATGGACTTTGAGCAGGGTGAGTATTTTTAACCACACAACATTCATAACATTTTTTCATAGCTTACCTTTGTGGCCTCATGTGTGTTTTATCTGTCACCTTCCTTTATTGTAGTTTTGAGACATTTTTTTTCTTGCTGATGTCTTTATGTAACCCATTGTGATTTATTATTTGTTAACATAACTCTGTTTTCTTGAACTTTTAATCTCTAAAAATTATTACTCCTCATATCAGTCATACAACAGAATATACCTGGAGCACATGTCCAAAATTAAATGTTTGATGTCCATACCTGTATTCTATTTTACTTTGTATCTTTAAGTCAAACTAATACGTCATGATCACTAAGCTTTTACAATATGTTACATACTGAACTTTTGCAATAGGTTACATACTGAACCTTTACAATAAGTTACATACTTACATTCTTACTTAACCTTTACAATAGGTTACATACTCACTAAACATTTACATTAGGTCACATACTCACTAAACATTTACATTAGGTTACATACTCACTAAACATTTACATTAGGTTACATACTCACTAAACCTTTTCAATAAGTTTCATACTTACATACGTACTGAACTTTTACAATAAATTACGTACTTACATACATACTGAACCTCTATAATAGGTTACATTAAACCTTTACAATAGGTTACATACTTATCTATCTTTTATTGTCTGTGATCCAACCTCCAACAGCACAGGGCTCAAAGGGAACCCATACTACGTGAGGGGGTAAGGCAAAAGACTCTCTCTCTCTCTCTCTCTCTCTCTCTCTCTCTCTCTCTCTCTCTCTCTCTCTCTCTCTCTGGTTTCCTTCTATATTATTCTTTATTCTATATTCTTGTTTTCCTGGTGGTTCCCTTTTTTCATCCTGGATGTTTTACTTCTAACTCAATCTGTATTCTTGATGTTTTTTTCCCCCAACTTTATCTTTATGCTTTCTTATTCTCTCATTTCTGATGTTTCCCTTCTAACTCTATGTTTTTGTCCTTACAGCTTAAACACCCCAGCAAAATCTTTTACACAATATAAAGACTACAATGTGGTTACATTCTGCTTTTCAAGTAACTGATGACAGTAAAAACAAGTGAAAAACAGCATGTCATCCTTATCCCTTCCATGAGTGAACATTTTACATATGACAGGGGAAAAATTGTCCCCAAGAAACCACATGCATTCTTACACAATCAACTTGTCATAGAGTAAGAGAGTAAAAGCAAGCAAGCTATTTTTCTCTGTCAGGTCTTTTACTGGCACTTTGCATTTTGCAGTTACAAAGAAAGGACCAACCACTTTATTGCCTATCTTGAAAGGTAATCTTATAAAGAATCTTAAAAGAATCACAAATATACACTTTTATACACGGAAATCAACCATTCAGCTCTACCTTAAGTCTTTAGGATGCATACCTACTCATCGATAATTTTTTATATCAGGATTTTGAGGGCAGAAATGGGTAGAAGGAATTGTTCATCACTTTTGGTCATCAACCAATCCTAGCAAGAAAGGCATATCCTCTAATGATAGTTGAGCTGTGGCCTCCGTTCTCATATATAACCTTATGAATGGCTATACCTATCCAATATCAAATACTCTGAAACGATATTTAAATTGGGACTACATTAGAGATACCATTCTTAATTTTAACACAGTCTGTGAAGACTTTAACTAGAGAAACATGGGATCTGAATCTCAAAAAGAACCAGTAGTTGAAAGGACAGAATTCATTCTATTCAAACTTCTGGCAATTGTTCATTGCCTCGTTCTCTCTTAGTTATTTAACCATAATGATTCTTCTAAATATGATTCTGGTGATCACTGACTAAATCTATTCGTGTCTACAAAAATAGTAGTCTGGGAATACATATGGGTTTAAATTTTCTGTTTTTAATCAATTGCATCAACTCTCCAAATAAGAATGCAGTACCGTTATAAGAAAGTAATTTTCTTACTTCTTTTCTCCCTGAAAAATAGTTTCAAAGGAATGTCTGGAAGTTTGAGAAGAGCTGAAGTTCTGAACCATTTTTCTCAGAGAGAGGATTTTCTAGTATAAAGCTTGATACTTATTAATGTACTATATCTACAGCAAATAAAAAGAGTCCTTAGTGGCTCAGACTCAGAAATAATGAATTATCTATGGGAGCAGGGCCTATGGAGATTCGATGAAATATCAAAATCACTTAAAAGAAACTGCAAGGGAAATGTAGAATCTAATTAAAAGAAAACCAAGCCCAGTTTCTTATAATTAAATAATTCTTTTTACTCTGGGTGCAAAATATTTTGGTCTCATTTTCTGTATTATCAATTTGCTATACAGTAAATAAATTACATAGGCTTAAAATATCACTGTTTTATTCTATGAAAAATGTTTTAACATTATTTTTAAAAATTAATTAATAAATATCAATCTGTATATGTGTACATGATGTGTGTGCCACAGTGATGTGTGGATGTCTGAGAACAAGTTTGTGGAGCTGTTTCTCTTCTTCCACTATTACATGGATTTAAGGGATCAAATTTAGGTTTTCAGGCCTATATAAGTATCTGTTCCATGAAGACTCTTGATGGTCCTGCATTTTATTTTTGCAAGTCAAACTATGAGGCAGAGGAGATGGCTCAGTGCCAAGAGTAAAGTGCTTGATGTGAAAATATGAGGACCTGAATTCTAATTCTAATATTTATTTATTATTATACAATATTCTGTCTGTGTGTGTGCCTGCAGGCCAGAAGAGGGCACCAGTTCTCATTATAGATGGTTGTGAGCCACCATGTGGTTTCTGGGAATTGAACTCAGGACCTTTGGAAGAGCAGGCAATGCTCTTAACCTCTGAGCCATCTCTCCAGCCCCCTGATTTCTAATTCTAATTCCCAGGACCCATTTGATGCTGGTTACAATAATGTGACCCTCTAATCACACTTCTCCTATGGATATTGGGAAGTGAAAGCAGGAGAATCCACAGAAGCCGATAGGCCTGAGTTCCTGGTGATTAACAAAAGGGTGACATTATTACAAATAATGTAGAATTGCTTTGGGACAATGATCTTGTACATGGAAAAGGTTTGTTGCTTCTATTTGTTTAATAAAATACTGGTAGGCCAGTAGCCAGGCAGGAAGTTTAGGCAGAGCAACCAGACTAGGAGAATTCTGGGAAGAGGAAATACAGAGACACAGTCACCAGTCAGACACAGAGGAAGCAAGATAAGAAAGCTTCACTGAGAAAAGGTACCAAGCCACATGGCTAAACATAGACAAGAATTCTGGATTAATTTAAGTTCTAACAGCTAGTTAATAATAAGCCTGAGCTAATAGGCCAAATTGCTAGTCTGCAGGAGGCTTGCCTGCTGGCCAACTAGTCAAGTTGTGGTGGGTGAGAGAGAGCCTAGAGACTGTTCTATCCATCTGGGGAGCTGGTCACTAACCTCTTAGTTTGCTCTGTGCAGTCACCACAAAGGTGGATTCTCAGCATGTTCACTGGAAGGAGTAAAGTAGGGTGTACCACCAGGATCTGATAGACCACTGGGAATTGTGGCAGAGAAGCACAAGTGACCACAGAAGGTGATCTGCTACAGAGCTGGGAATGACCTTGGGGGAATGTATTTGGAGGAGAGCGAAGATTGCCTACTTGATTCCTCAGCCATCCATGCTATAAGGGGAATTAAGTACCTGCCTTATCAGTTTTTCCCACTGTTTTGCATTAATTTTCATGTTTTTAGTCTTCCATTCATTTCCTGATTTTATATGAATGCCACGTGTCTTAGGGTTTTGCTATCACAGCTAACTATCCCCAGAGAAATTCCAGGAAACGTTGTTCAACAAGAACTTAAATCAGTTTCTTGTTCACCTAAATGGTTTATGGAGGTTTCAAATTTGATGGTCATTGGGAAGGTCTTCCTAGAGTGTTTTTGAGAGGAAATATTAAAAAGATTCTTCATAACTAACATGAAGCATAAAAAGTTATTTTGAGAAGTGCAGTCTTTTTTCTAAGTGTCAAAATGGGTAATGAATACTTCTATAGGCCACATCTGTCAATGGTACATATCATTTCCACACTCACTTGATTAGCTCCAGCATAAAGTAAAAAGGCAGACCTGAAAGTGTGGAAAAAATGGTAGAAAACCACCAACTATTGTGTTTCCAGGAATAACAGCCAGACAATAATTTTAGGTTTCCTATAAGACTAAACATATTCAAAAAGTTTATTTTTAATGAAGGCAAAGAATATCGTGGTTCATAGTATTTAAGTTGAAAGAGAAATTGTGAGTATAAAAAGATTAAAAAACAAGTATGAGTAAAAATATAGTACAGCTTCAGATTCTGTGCTCTTTCACCCGTCCTTCAGTCTAGCATGCCTCAGTTTATTTTACACCTTTGAGAGGAGCACAAGTTTTTTAATTGAGTAATTGAAGGCTTGTTTCACTTGCTTGTTTCTCAGTGCATAAATAAAAGGATTTAACATTGGTGAAATCGATATGATGAGAAGTGAAATCCCTTTATTGATAGCTACGTCACTCTTGGATGAAGGTTTGATGTAGATGAAGAAGCAGCTGCCATAAGTAATGGAAACTACAATCATGTGGGAAGAACAGGTGGAAAAAGCCTTTTTCCTTTGCTGGGCACAGGGAAATCTCAGAATGGTCTTGATGATGTAAACGTAGGAAAGGACAACACACACAAAGGTGATGATGAAGGTCAGCACCGCACCAATTATCACCATCTGCTCTAACAGCCATGTGTCTGAACAAGAGATTTTCAGGAGAGGAGCTGCATCACAACAAAAATGGTCAATGATGTTTGAGTCACAGAACTCCAGGCCCAAGCCTAGACTAATAGGTGGGACAATGATGACCAATGCTGCTATCCAACAGAAGAAGATGAAATTCTTGCAGACTCTGCTATTCATGATAGTCATGTAATGCAGAGGTTTACAGATGGCCACATAGCGGTCATAGGACATGACAGCCAGAAGAAAAAATTCTGTTGCTGCAAAGAGGTCTATAAACAGTAGCTGAGTGACACAACCTGTATAGGTAATGGACTTGTCCCCAGATGATATGCTATATAAAAATCGGGGAATACAAGCAGTTGTTAGTGAAATTTCCAAGAAGGAGAAATTTTTGAGAAAAATATACATAGGTGTTTTAAGGCTGGGGTCAGTCAGAGTGAGTGTGATGATGGTTATGTTCCCAGAAAAACTCAACATGTAAGAAAGAAGCAGAAAGATAAAGAGAAGAATTTTCAGTCTAATGTCATCTGTCAGACCCAGCAAGATGAAGGTTGTCACTGTTCGGTTTCTCATTTTTGGTTATTGTCTCTTGACCAGCCTGGCTGAAAAAGAAGAAAGACATTATTTACAAGACTTCAGAATTTAGTCAGATGCCAACCTCACGACAAGTTAGCTTACCATTCCTCTACTGCCATTGGGTAGTGAAGAAGCAAGCACACAGTGCATGCTGGTCTTTGATCTTCCTTTTGTGTCACACAGCAGCTCATATATTAAATCATGGAAGTCATACTGATATCCTATGTCTGCAGTCTAGCTGGAATCGATGCTACAATTACCCTATTACCCAAACCACATAAGGATATTACTAAGAAAGAGAATTATAGACCATTATTACTCATGAACATTGATGCAAAAATTGTTGACTGAGTTTTCTGTCTGCCTTTTCCCTGAAGTCAATGTCCCAAAGCACAGAGAGTTCTATATTAGTTATAAACTGATAGGCCTAGCCCAGGCTTCTTATTAACTCTTACAACTTATATTAGCCCATTATTGTTATCTGTGTTATCCACATTGCTTGGTACCTTATGTGGCCATCAGTCATATCATGCTTCTTCTGGGGTTGGGTCTGGACTCTGTGTCCTCTTCCCAGAATTCTCTTGTTCTCATTGATCCACCTCTACTTCCTGTCTGGTTGTCCCGCCTATACTTTCTGCCTGGCTACTGGCCAATCAGCATTTATTTAAAGTAAAATTGATAGAATATAGATCATTGTCCCACACCTAAATATACTCTATAAAATACTGGCAAATTGAATCCCAGAACACATCAGACCCATCATCCACCATGATTAAGTAGGTTTCATTCCAGAGATGTAGGGTTTGTTCAGCATACAAAAATCTGTCTGAAGATGCTGAAAAAGCTTTCAACAAAATACAACATCCCTTCACGTAAAAGGTCTTGGAGAGAGCAGGTATACAAAGAACATACCTAAACATAATAGAGGCAATATACAGCAAACCAACAACCAACATCAAACTAAATGGAGAGAAACTCCCAGTGATCCCATTGAAATCAGGAACAAGACAAGGTTGTCCACTCTCTCCATACCTATTCAATATAGTTCTTGAGGTTCTAGCTAGAGCAATAAGACACCAAATGGAGATCAAGGTGATACAAATAGGAAAGGAAGTCAAACTCTCACTGTTTGCTAATGATAAGATAGTTTACATAAGTGACCCTAAAAATTCTAACAAGGAACTTCTACAACTTTTAAACACTTTTAGTAATGTAGCAGGATATAAGATTAACCCAAAATAATCAGTAGCCCTCCTGTACACAGATAATAAATGGGCTGAGAAAGAAATCAGAGAAACATCACTTTTCACAATAGCCACAAATAGCATAAAATATCTTGGAGTAATTCTAGCCAAACAAGTGGAAGGCTTGTATGACAAGAACTTTAAATCTTTGAAGAAATGAAAGGAGACACCAGAAAGTAGAAAGATCTCCCATGCTCTTGGGTAGGTGGAATTAACATAGTAAAAATGCCAGTCTTACCAAAAGCAGTTTATAGATTCAATGCAATGCCCATCAAAATCCCAGCAAAATTCTTTATGGACCTTGAAAGAATGATACTCAACTTCATATGGAAAAGCAAAAAATCCACGATAGACAAAACAAGCGTGTACAATAAAAGAAGTTCTGGAGGGTTCACAATCCCTGACTTTAAACTCTACTACAGGGCTACAGTACTGAGAACAGTCTGGTATTGCCATTAAAACAGACAGGAGGACCAATCGAACAAAATCAAAGATCTGGATACTAATTCACACATCTTCCAACACCTGATTTTTGACAAAGAAACAAAAAATATCGAATGGAAAAAAGAAAACAAATGGTGCTGGCATAACTGGATATCAACATGTGAAAGAATGAACATGAATCCATATCTATCACATGCACAAAACTCAAGTCCAAATGGATCAAAGACCTCAACATAAAGCCAGCCACACTGAACCTCATAGAAGAGAAAGTGGGAAGTAGACTTGAACACATTTTCACAGGAGACCACTTCCTAAATATAACCCCAGTAGCACAGACACTGAGAGAAACAATAAATAAATGGGACCGCCTGCAACTGAAAAGCTTCTGTAAAGCAACGAACAAAACAACAGCTTACAGAATGTAAAAAGATCTTCCCAATCCCATATCAGACAGAGGTCTGCTCTCCAAAGTACATAAAGAACTCAAGAATTTGGTCATCAAAAGAACAAATAATTCAGTATAAAAATATAGTACAAATAGAATCAGAGAACTCTCAACAGAAGAATCTAAAATGACTGAAAGACACTTAAGTAAATATCCAACATCCTTATTCATCAGAGAAATGCAAATCAATACAACTCTAAGATTCCAACTTACAGGTCTATGAATGGCCAAGGCGAAAACACTGATGACAACTTATGCTGGAGAGGTTGTGGGGAAAAAAGGAACACTTCTGCATTGCTGGTGGGAATGCAAACTGGTACAGCCCCTTTGGATGTCAGTGTGGTGATTTCTCAGAAAATTAGGAAACAACCTTCCTCAACACCCAGTAATACCACTTTTGGGTGTATATCCAAAGAATGTTCAATCATGCCACAAGGACGTGTGCTCAACTATGTCCATAGCAGCATTGTTTGTCATAATGAGAACGTGGAAACAACCTAAATCTTCCTCGACCGATGAATAAATAAGGAAAATGTGGTACATTTACTCAGTGGAGTTCTACACAGCAAAAATAAAATAAAATAATGACATCTTGAATTTTGCAGGAAAATGGATGGAGCTAGAAAACATCATTTTGAGTGAGGTAATCAGACACAGAAAGACAATTATCACATGTACTCACTCATTAGTGTTTTTTCAACATAAAGCAAAGAAAACCAATCTACAAACCACAATCCCAGAGAACCTAGATAACAATGAGGACACTAAGAGAGACATACATAGATCTAATCTACATTAGAAGTAGAGAAAGACAAAATCTCATGAGTAATATGGGAGCATGGGGACCTTGGTAGAGGGTTGAAGGGGAGGGGAGAGGCAGGGAGTGGAGCAGAGAAAAATGTAGAGCTCAATAAAAATCAATTAAAAAACAAACAAATAAATAAAATACAGGCTCATACAAAGAATTGTTTTCCCAGCTTGCTAATGGAAGTGTGGAACTGACTCACCTGGTTACTTGATTTTCTTGATGAAAACCCTGGTGGCCCCAACTAGCTGCAAGTTTCATTTCTCTAGATAGTGAAGATTTTTTTCCTTTGATATATTTACAAGAAGGTGTTTCAATAAAGGTATATTTTTATAAAAAACTCGAAAATGAAGTTCTCTGTGTTTATTTTTTTAAAACACATTCAATAGCAGTATATTTACTCTCTGTATGGCCATCATTTTTATTCAGTTCCCTGTAGGGAAGTCAGGGAATGAGAATATGAAGAGCTATATTCTTTTATTCTGTTTTTGATCCACCATGGTTTAGTTTGAGATAGTCTTAATACTTTGTTATATATGACAGTGTGACCTAGTAATATCACATCAAGAGAGTAGGTAATTTCTTAAGTTTATTTTCTCTTTCCATTTCCTTTATATTCTATTTGCACAAAATTATTTTTGCTTTTCCACTTTCTACTTAATACATGAACTTATTTGTTCTAAGTATGCTTTAAACTATTTTGGCCAAAATTATCACTATTGGGTTCCTTAATTTTTTTAAATATTTGTTCCATTGTATGATTTTTAGTTGGTAAGCTTTCTCTCTCTATCTGTAGATTGTCTTCTCCCTCTCTAAGTATTTTCCTTTAGTGTGCAGAAACTTTTTAGCTTGGTGCCATCTTGTCTGTCTCCTTTTCTTATGTTTTCTTCTGGTTATTTTGTTGTTTTAGGTCTTACATTGAAGACTTCTATTGCTATATCAAAAATAATTGAGAACAAGCCAGTGCTGCAAGTGTGTGGAGAGAAGGCAGCCCACCATTTAGGTATCAGGAATGCACAATATTACAGATATGTTACAAAATGACATAAAGGTTTTTAAAAAGTAAAAATAAAATTACGATGTGGTTCCAAATCTCATATCTTGTTTTATATATAAAATTTTCTCCATCATATTAATTGGAAATTAAATTACCACATTGTGGACTTGGTTTATTCAGTTAGAATAGTGTCCTTTTTGTTCCACATATGTTATTATAGATGGCAGAATTTCCTTCTTACTTAAGTTGTACAGTATTTTATTTGGCATATGTATCTTATTTTATTTATTTATTCATCTATTGATGGATGCTTAGTTTTATATATTGGAATCATTAATGATGACAAAATGAACATGGGAGTACAAAAATAGCTTCAAAATCAATGCAATTCTTTGAAAAATGTATTTCAATGGATCTAGAAAGAATTATATAAAAGTTTGCAGAAGTTATGCTGAAAATGAACATATTTGTTTTACCTATATGAATAAAGTCATAGAATGACTTCTAAGAATTTTCTTTTCATATGATCCTCATAGCAAAAATTCATTGATATTTTGAGACTATCTTTAATATTATAGTAATTGGTCTGACTCTCTATAATTTTTTTCTATCTACTAATGTATAAAGGGAGAGAATATTTCCTGTACTGTTATAATTTTTAGAAACGATGAGCTTTCTATTCTTATTGATGTCTTTGCATCAGCATCCTTAACAATATCTAGTTTATGGAATTATTGTGATCATTTGTTGAATAATTCCCCAAGAATTCTTGGTGGACCATAAGCTAGAGTCAGTATCTCAAATTCTTTTGTCCATTTATGTCTTCATTTTACTTTTCTTCCTTTGCTCCTTAACTTGCTTCAACATTTTTGATAATTTATTTTGTCACTAATAAATGTCCATTGTGCATACTATATTTTTGTTCTTGTAGTCTTGATTAAAATGAGAATTTTTAGTGCCTCTAATAACCTTCTATGCTCATCTAGTGAATTAACAAGAGGAGGAGTGAGGCTTTTGCAATTTGGAGAATATGTCAGGAGGATTCTAGATTTATTTCTGAAG